AATAAAGATCACATGCCTTGCGCACGTTCCACTTTAAAAAAAAAAAAAAAAAAAAAAAAAAATAATAGTAATAATTAAAGACCTATGGGTTTATAGCACAGTGGTAATACTTCATAGATCACCAGGAGAAAGTCTAAGATTCAAACTTACCTGGTTACAAAAATTTATCACCTTTATGATTGGTTAACTGGCTTTCAATATATGTCATATCCAATCAGCTGAAAATCATCTACCAAATTAAGCTAGGCTGCATGAATATAGGACCTCTGGTCTTTCTGACGATCGCAGGCTAAAAACAGATCAAAGCAGGAAAGGTTGCACAAGGCAAAGCTTCTGGTCTAACTCTAATATAAGCCCATAACACCAACTGGAACAATAGACTCCATATCCCTATCCTTCCTATTCAAGTTGGCTAGTTTCCTGATGTAGGTCGTATTCAATCAGCTAGTATCCCAAACTGGATTGGCTGACTCTGAAATTTGATTAAACCTCCACTTCTCTATTTGATGTTGATGCAATCCAGATTGGTAATCCAATCATGGAAAAGAGTTAGATCATAAGCCAAAAAGGAGACCACTAGGAAAGTTTTTTACTGTTGGTACAGGATTTTCCTTATCTTATATTTACAAGTAGAGAGTCATAAGTATAAACCAGAGTATAGACCCACTTACTTGATGTAAGTTGGTATTCTGGTAAAAAGGACAAGTAGCGTAAGTTAATATTAGTAATAGTTAATAGATTGTTCATGTATGGTAATTGTGGTCTTAATTAATTTAACAATAAAATCCATGTGTATATTGCAACTTAATTCTTATAAAAATAATAATAATAATAATAATAATAATAATTAAAGACTTATGAATCAATAGAACAATAGATAGTGCTTTTAGATTTTTAAAAAAATATTTTTAGTTTAATATCTATAGGATGCAAATGTAATAATTTTATTTATATTATTAGTGGGAACTGATATGAAACATAATCACACAAATATATTTTAGCATGTTACATATTATTATTTGTAATAATTAATGACTTATAATCTATAGTGACATGTAAAAACATAATGTAATTTTAAAGAAACTTAAATTAGTCATAACTTTAAATCGCTTATTAATTACAAATAGTCTATTGTAGTTTGATAGGGATTACATAACACAATAATAGCTTAGTAATAATATGTCTGCTGATATAAAAATGAGAAAAAATGAAAATAGAAATAGTATTGTAGAAAAATAAAAAAGACAATAAAGAAGAATCACTTCATAATAAAGAATCTTTTAATTAAGAAACTTATCTTTTTAGTACTTATCAAGTTAGAAAGGAATAATTGAAATTCACTAAAGATAATTGTGATAGGATTATTAAGAGAAACAATAGTGATAGAAAAGAAAGGACAGTACTTAGTATAAAGAGAATAGAAAGTAATTGGCCAAAGTCTTACTTACTTCTTTCAAGACAAGAAGACATAACTTAACCTTGATATATAACAAGTTCTTGTTGTTCCTAGTAACAGACTTACTAATTTAATGTTAACAATATATAGATTTACTGATTTTACTTATATATAAAGTATCCAAATATCCAGATTCTAATCAAATTCAGTTAGACTGCATGAATATAGAGTCTTTGGTTTTTTTAATAATTATGAATTGAAAACAAATTGAAGCAGAAAAGGTCATATATAAAGTAAAACTTTTGGTCTAATTTTATAAAAGTTTACAATTCTCTTGGTATAGCAGATTTTGTAGCACAAAGAATATTTTAACTTAAGACTATTTCAATCCAGTGCTTGCTTAAAAAAAAAGAATCCAATAAAAAGGAAAATCTAAAGCTACAAATAATAACAATAAGTATAGTACCTTTTTTGAGATTTTAAATGAAAAGTATTAAATAGATTATTTAAGTGTTCTAATTAATCTTGAAAGATATATACTTTTAATAATAACTGTTAGGGTCTAGATTAAATTAAATAGTTTATAAATTATCTATTTCCTAAAAATCTTATTTAGATGTGTAAATTTATTTTAGTAATAATGAACTTATATAACTGAATAAGACTATAGATGAAGGTACAGGTTAATTTAAATGAACTTTGTAAATTACTTAAATAAAGTTATATGCTACTAGTACCTTTGTACTTGAATAATGATAATTTATAAAAAATAGTTTATTATATATTGTAATTTTAAGAATATTATATTAATTTTAATTTTTTAAAAAAATAAAATTAATAAACTTATAAATTATTAAGATTTTCAAATTTATATTATTAGTTTAATATCTATAAAAAGCAAAATATATATTAATATTATTTATATATAAGTTTATCAGTTTTTCTATATACAATATAAAGATTTCAAATATTCAAATTCAATTTTAAGTTGAATGAAAAATAATCTTTAATCTTTTTAATAATTACAAGTTAAAACAAGTTAAAAAGAAAAGATATATAAAAAAACATGTATATTGTTATAGTGAAATGACGAGTTAGTCACTTTCTACTGAATTACGCCATGTGATATCAATTAAGAGGTCAAATTACTTTCAAAAGAGGCATAGGAATTTGACAGAGTTGTTAATTATATGTCAATGAGATGATACTGTGGGATTTTCATACAATCAATATTAGGAGTAAAATTGAATACAGTATTTTATTGATTTATTATTAATACTATCTATTAGATATTAATTATCAGTCATTAGCTACTCTCCTCCTTCTATATTATAGTCCTTTTTCATCCTTTTTATATCTTATTATTTTATACCAATTATACTGATTATACTTGATATATTAATTATATCCATTATATCTAATATACCTACCTTTATAATTTCCTATTATTTACTTATTACTTTTTTCCTATAACAATATATATATACTGTATATATATATATTCATTTATTAATTAATATGTTTATTAAGATTAGATAACTTTGAAAAAAATTATTGATATGAATACTAATATATAAAGTTAATTTATAACAATATAAAAATTAAATATTATTTGATATTTGTACCTTCAAATTTAATAGTTTATATTAATTAAAAACTTTTAAAATATTTATTAAAATATTTAGGAATTGTGTTTTATTTGATCAATTAATGTTCAAATTTGATAGTTTGTATTAATCAAAAAATTTCTTGAAGTATTTATTAAAAAGTATAAAGTAAAATTATGAAAATTATAATTGTATAAGCCAAAAATGTAAAATAATAAGAAGTTTTAAAATTTTTATTTTTTTAATACTTATATTAATTTAAAATCAAATAATTTAAAACTGAAAATAATATTTTTATTTTTTCAAACTTCTATCAATATATAGATCTATTTATAAGGTATTAGTTAATATAATCAGGTTAAAAAAATTAACAGTTCAATCAATATTAATAATAATTAATAGACTGTTTATATATAAGATATTTAATCTACATAATTAATAAAAACCATATATGAAATATATTTTAATTTTTTTTTAAAAAAAATTAAATTAACAAAAATAGAAAATATTTTAAATAATAAAAAATAATAATTATAATAAAATAAAGATATTATATAAATCCAAATATTAATAATATAAAAAAATCAAAAATGTGAAATCTATATTTTATATAATCAAACATTATTATATTAATTGAACAAACATAAATATTTTAATATTATTAATGATTATTTTGAAAACTGCAACCAAAAACTTTTTTAAAAAATTCTAAAAAAGCTTTTTAATTAATAAAAATAAAATAGATTTCTTAATAACAAATCAATTAGTTAAATTTAACTATATACTGTATATATCTCTTTAACTTCCTTCCACCCAATGCTGAGTAGGTAATTATAGCTGCTTGGAGCTGCTTGACGAGATATATTGTTTTAAAAATTTCTTTTCAATATTAGTTTAATGATTGCTGTAAGCAAGCTAGCATTTAATTCATTGTACTAGTACATATGAGAGATGTTGTTTCTTTCACAATGTATATCTATTATTATACAAATAAATAAAGAAATGATGTTTACCTACAAAAAAAAAAAAAAACAATATATTATATATAAAAGATATATAGTATATTATAATAATTACTTGTAATAATATTTAAGACAAATATATTACCTTTTATATTCTTAACACTAGAATTAAATAAAAATGAATATAATTTTTGACAAGAAAATATACAATAAAGATTATAAAAACATTGATATACCGTATTGATTTTATTGACTTTGATGCCAAAAAGAATTAATGCAGTATTAAAGGTTAAAGGATCAATTAAAATACGTATCTATTGTATAAATTATTATATATTGTACTTTTACAAAATTGTACCAATAAAATAATTTTATTGATTTTTTATTTACTAATGAGCATATTTAAATATGTATCCGATCATTTCTTGTTTGGTGTAACTTGGAACCAGTTAAATTCTTTTTTTTTTGCATAAATACTAAAGACATTAATGATCTTAAATCAAAGAATCGAATGACTTGAATCTTTTAAAAAAATGTCATCGGATAACAAATCGAGTATAATAGACTCTGGCGCAGCAGCAATCATCAGTAGGTTGTGCACTCATCCTCGTGCGTATTGCTTTTTTTCTCGTTTTTGAAAAGACAGAAAAATACTATGGGTTCGATTCATAAAATAATCTCTTATACTTCAATCACAAGAAAGTCGACACAATTCGTGTGCGGGTCCAGACTACAATTTCTCTTCCCACTTCTCCTCTTAGCATCACATCTAAAAGTGGTGTTATTTTTCATATTATCCGCACTACTCCCCTCAAAAACTTTTATTCCGGTATATCGGTCGCCATCGCTATAGGAATTCCGGCTCTATCGACTTATCTCTATATGTATGACAATACAAAGTACTATCTTTCAACAAAGCTTGGAATTAATAATGATAGAGTCATCAATCATATGATAAGTGGGGCATTAGCAGAAACAGTGAGTGGAATGTTCTGGACACCAATGGAGGTAGTAAAGAGTAAATTGCAAACCGGAGTTGGTTACGTTAAGGAGGATTTTAGAGGTAATACGATTGGAAAAGTGGTCGGTCGGGATAATAGAGGCGGCACATTAAATTTAATAAGAATGATATTCGATAAAGAAGGAATAAGGGGATTTTATAGAGGATACTTTCTTGCGCTTGCGGTTTTCATTCCACACACAGTTACCTATTTTGTAATTTATGAAAAATGTAAGGCTTGGGAGCGTAATCGACGAAGTAGAAATAAGAAACCCTTTAGGGAGGACAAACTAGATAGTGCGATGGCATTGGAACAAAATGGGGTATCTAGTTCAAAAAGTACAGTTATGGCTAATTCTACACCGAAATCTAACGGAGAACTTCCGTTCACGAGATACATTTTGTATTCCGGATTCGCTGGTGGTGTAGCAGCATCGTTTTCAAATATTTTGGATGTTGTTAAAACTAGATGGCAAGTTTCATTTAGTGATAATAAAACGCATTCGCCGAGAGCAATTATAAGAAGCATGTACCTGAATGAAGGTGGATTTAAAGCCTTCACTAAAGGTATGGGTGCTAGAGTGTTGTGGATGGTTCCAGCTTCAGCTGTTAGTATGACTGTGTTTGAGGCCTTGAAAAATCGTAGAGCGAGAAAGAAGAAATTTGAATAAAGAGTAATGCTTTTTCTTGCATTTCAAATGAGAGAATACTACAATGTGACCAGATAATCTTGCTCACTTCATTCCCATTTCATTTTTCTGTCATTCGTTGGCCTTTGGTTTACGTGCATTCTTCAAAAGTTAGACAGCAAGGGGGTTATTAATATGTTCATATAATGCAATAAAAGAGTGAACCAAAATTAGAATTATCATAAATTATTTCCGAATAAATTTGAATGCAGAAGTGGATTATACTCGCATAAATGCAGAAATTCCAAACAAAGATACATCAAGAATTATTAAATTTGGAACTCGCGAAAATTTCCAAAGGACAAAATAAAGGTGTAAGAGATACAAAAAACTAAGAAATCATTATAATAATATTCTTCGAACATAAATACGAAATACACTACTGTAATCCGATTTTGAATAAAGGTAAGCGAATAAAGAATGGAACAGTAAGCAAAGAAAGAACCTTTTAAAGGGAGTTGAATCCGTGAAGAGAAGCTACTTAAGAATTAAGCCCAAGAAATGTTTCAATCAACAAATAAGTACCATAACGGGTGTAAAATAATTAAAAATTTAATTATGATCCACATACCAATCTCAGAAAATCATCAATCCTTTGAGTCACTGCATCTTCTTAAGAATCATGATTCATTTTCCGTCAAATGATGGTGTCGGTGAGCGAACGTACGACTTCCGGGAAAGGGGACCCATAAATTTCATTCGTTTGGATTCCATACTCAGTAAAATGGTCGTGCCTACTATTATGAAATGCATAAAATAAGTGTACAAAGGAATTCGCATATGCTAAAGTGTATAGCAGCGAAAATAATTCGATTTGACCAGTGTTCTTACTTTTTATCATCAATATAAAAATTACTGTTAATTTCATCATCTTTAATAGTGCTATCGTCGTCGTCGTCGTCGCGAATGGTGCTTTCACTCTCCTCACTCATCATTGTGGTTATATCCGTGTTATCCTTTCCGCTGAAATACATCATTCTTTTGATGATCTGATCTTCGTCTTCCTCTTTCTTAAAATAAATTATCTCGTTTGCTTCTACTTCGTGCATTGCATCCACTTTATTTTCACCAAGTTTTGTGAAAAATTTTTCCTCCATTGATTCTTCGACTTTGATCTCGCCTTTTTCCTGATCAATAATAACATTGCATTTTTTATTGATCACCTCTTGCCATTCATCGGCAATTTTTCCGTTATTTTTTTCTCTAGACCTCCCATGCTGAGCCGACCGTTCTTGACTTTCACTAGAAATCTTTGCTTTCCTCATTCTCGCACCTTTCCTCGTCGTCCGATTTCTTTCGTCCAAGACAAACCTTGTCTCGTCTTTCTTTTTCAATTTCAAACATAGCTCTCTCATCATCCATCTAATCTTTCTATTATTCCTCAATACACTTTCATTAAACCAGTTTTTATCATTATTGATCCTTCCCCATTCCATAAAATTGATCATGTTTCTTTTCATCCTATATATCTTTCGATAAGTTGAATGCGTTGGCCTCCGGGGATTAATTAACATTTGAGCACGATGACAGGTTGCCATTTCGTTTGTTTGAAAGTCTGTGAAATGCATCTTTAGATATTTCAGAACTTCGATAAGCTCATCATCTTTCCACGAGAGTCTTTGTTGCATTTTCCGCCAGCTTTATTTTATTTTATTTTTTTCTATTTAGTAAAAGGGTAAACTTAACAAATGCAGTAGCTTTTAATTCCGATGATCGTAATTATACATCATCGCATTTGTCATTAAAACTACCTTTCCTCGAATGATGATAATGTGAAAGCGTAACAGTGACATCATTGTTCACGTGTATGTGTGATGACATTAAAGAATCCATAGCAGTTTTGAATTATCTGAAGTTTCTTCGTAGGGAAAATCATGTGCTGAGTGATCCAAATACTTCTTTTTGAAGCCTGTTAATACGGTTGTTATGTTTCGCGTTTAAAATCAAAACTATTTTGTGAAAAAGCGACGAAAAACAATTTCTTTCAAATATACTGTATATTTTATATTTTTGCTATTACATAAATAATAATAAAACACATTCTTTGTTAATTTACTAAAAAAATTGTATACAAGATAGATAAACTGATTTATTTGTATTGACAAATTGACAATAGTTGATATGAACACCTGTTTTTGAAAATGAATCAAAAATTCAAGATATTTTAAATTTATTACTCTATAGTATTATTCTAAATTTTACATCATATATACTGTATATATTTTTTGATTTAAGTTTTTTAAAAAATTAAAATATTGATATCTTTATCAGTATAGTATGTAATATTATTTGATAAATTAATATTTATTTTAAACTTGGGAATTTTCATATGAAAATTTTTTATTAAAATTTATGATCAGATACTTGAATTTTAAATTTTTGCAAATATTAGCAAACCAAAATTCAATGAGGTAGATAAAAATCATGCTAGTGATATTTAATCAAATAGCTCATAATGAAAGTGTTCAAGTTTTGCCTCCAATTTCATACTGTATGTAGCGAGAAACTAGAAGTTAATTCCGAATTGTTAATTAGCAAATATGTTGGGAAATACGTCGGAAAACAGAAAGATGTTCTATTTGACGTGCAAAGCTATGAAGCCATTTTAAAGCGTATTACACATTCAGGTCAGTTATTAAGTAATTCCTTTATCTTAAAAATCGCTTTGCAAGCCATGCCAGACTTAGATCAGAAAGTGGTGAATACTCGTAACACGTTTATAGTAAGTTCGTGGAAAAATGGTTCGGGCGATTTCAAGAACGTCCAAGTCGCATCCAATTAGATAAAAGGATGACAAAGAATTAGCGGTTGCAATACTTAAGGCCAATGAAGTTGTATTAGATTGTTCAGACGGAAATATCACACAAACTTCCACCGACTGGCGTGCTAATTATTTGGTTAGAAAAATTCAGAGACACGTCTTTTGCGTTACAACTCTCCTATAAGTCGTAACGATAACCAATATCGATTTATCCACAAATCCCTATTTTAATATTTTGTTTCTCGAGAATCTGAGAAAATTTACAAAAGAGCTAGAACCATGCTATTTTAAGAAAATTTAATACTACGTGATCCTGGGATAGCTCGCTTTTTAACCGAGTATGTACAACGGAGTGATGGTTCAAAAGACGCACAACAGGCTAAAAAAATTTGGCGAGAATTTCCTTAACTTTATTGAGAAATCGAAAGAAACTAATTTCGAAATTGCTGCAGCAAATGCAATCACAATTATAAATAAAGCCGAGTGGTCTTTAATGGCAAGAATCTACAATAATGAGATTCGTATTGCAGGAGCAGATGTAAGTTATGGCTTTCTTGATTATACACAATACAGTAGGGCAGATTTGGGTGCATGCAGATTTTAGTACAGTAATGCTAACTTGTCGGGAGTGTAATCCGGAGAAATGCCTTTTTTAGATCCAATATGAATGTGAATGCTGCTGCTATCCCCTGAATGGAGGTTTACTTATTATTGCTAGTGGAGAAACAATTTATCTTTACTATGTCAAAACGTTAGAGATTACACGTATCTTCGAAGAACATACTGGTATCATTAAAGTGGTCTTTCTCTCCGGATATCACTCAATTGACATCGAACAGCAGTGACAACAAGGTGCGGTTATTATCTTTCGACAATTTATTAAGAATCCACAAATTCTAGATGAATATATTGATTATGGTGGATGTATCGGGAAGCAGTGACAATACAGTGCAGTGGTGGTCTATCGAGAATTTAGATCAGAATCCACACATTCTAGGACATATTCATTATGTTAAATGTGTGACCTCCCCATATGGTACTCAGTTGGCATCTGAAAGTAATAACAATATGGTGTGGTTGTGGTCTATTGAGAGAATCATCATGTTACTAGTGTGACCACTCCTAATGGCACCCAATTGGCTTTGGGAAGCAATGATAATACAGTGCAATTGTGAATTTAAAGCAATAATTGAATATTTTCTGATTTTAAAAGTCAAATATTTTTAAAACAAAAAATTCTAAAAAATTCTATAAATTATAAAAGGAAGTTTTTCAGAAATGTTTATCAATTTTTTTTAAACCTATAGCTAAAGAATCAAAATTTTATTTTATAGTTCATGATAATATAATTATTTTTATTTCACAAATTTTAATAATAATAGCTGACTTACTGGAAGTAAAAAAATTACAAACATTTATTTATTATTTACTTTTTTGTGACCTTGCTACTTATGCTTGATATCAAAAGATTTAAATAATATTTTTTTTTTTTTTTGACGAAAATGTCATCTTCTTCAAGTAAACAAAATAAAAGTGGAAGACCAAATATAAATAAAACATATTTCTTATATAGAACTTCAGATAATATATAACAAGTAATTAATAATAATAATACTTATTATTATGCAATTCATTTAAAATAAATATATTTTGAAAATTAATAATTTATTAATAAAAATAAAAATATAATATATTAAACTAATATTGTTAAAAATTTTTAAAAAGCTTTAATGTATATGAAACAATTGTTTCAAATCATATACATATATTAAATCTTGATCTTTTTAAATATATATTATATTATATAAAAGAAATTTTATATAAACAATATAAAAATTAAGTAATTTAAGTCTTTGAAAATTTATTTTTATTAATTTCTTGATTTCAAAATCTAAAATAATAATAAATATATTTGATATAAATTATTTAACTGCTGATAAATTATAAAATATAATAATAATAATAATTTTTTTTCAGATAAAAAGTACTAATAATATATACTTTATTATTGACAATGCAATTTATATAATAATAATAATAATTTTTTTTCAGATAAAAAGTACTAATAATATATACTTTATTATTGACAATGCAATTTATATAATAATAATAATAATTTTTTTTCAGATAAAAAGTACTAATAATATATACTTTATTATTGACAATGCAATTTATATAATAATAATAATAATTTTTTTTCAGATAAAAAGTACTAATAATATATACTTTATTATTGACAATGCAATTTAT